GCTTCGCGCTCTTGCATTGCGCAGTCGGGTAAAATGGAATCACACGTGTACACAACTAAGCCAATAAAAAGTCAGAAAAATGGAAAAACAGATATGAAATAGTTTCAAATACAAGAGTTGAATGGGAATACCAAGAAACAAAGTGAGTAAAAGGAATAAAACTAAAATTCGTACAAAGATGAATAACTATTACATTTTTGTTATAATTTTAATTTTTAAGCATGTAACTGCTCCATGTTCAATCTAAAGAAAATATTACTAGAAAAAAATCCACGCGGACCAGGCAGTAGACGGAACTCGAAAATTTTAATTATAATTAAATAAGAAGTTAAATATCAATTATATCAAGTTAATAAATTTCTTTCAGTTTTGATAAAAATAAGGATGTGATTCTCATTTATTTTAAAATGTTATGAAAATGAAATCACAATTTGACCCTTAACCTAACATTATAAAACTTATGAACAAACTCGTTTCCGTCTTTTCCATTTTGAAACAACGAATATCACGTACCTACCAAGCTGCGATGCAATTCAAATAAAATTCAATTGTATACAAAGATGTTAGGAACGTTCCGACGACGCTCCGTTGTTAAGTCACGACAATTGTAACTGCACAAAAATAATGCTTACCTACTTGATCAAATCAGCACAATGTTTATAGGTACACGTTTTAATGCCATATGTCTTGTAGCGTTGGTAGCGAGAGTATTAAAAATGTGCGCCGCTGGAAAAACACTGTATTTAAGGTTTTTGGTAAGTTCTTTATCCCAACGTTTCGACCAGGTTACACCGGTCATCGTGATGGCAGGGCGCGGAGGTAAGGTGGAGAATCCAGGATCCCACGAGACCCGTTCTGGCAGGCAAGGAAGTATTGTTGGGTTTAAGTGGATATGGCCCTTTCCTCATTCTAAGTTAGTCCTATGGGCTGGCTGAGTGGGTGGCCGGGATTTGGGGGGAGGAGGAGTCCCACATAACCCCGTCTCTCACCCAGGGGCGGGGTATGCGTCATGCATTTTCCCAACATTAAGTCGCCCCGTTTAAAATTTATATAGTTAACATTGATATACATAAAAAAATACTCTTTATATCACATTTAAAAGATGCTACATTGTTAAATTACGATTAAAATTATCAAATTTAACAGTTATACATATGTAGCTAGCTAAGGTTATCAAGTGAGTTTGAACGTAGCGTATCTCCACGGGGTGGGGCAACGCATGAGTTTTATCCCGGGTTCAGACAGGGCGATTTTAGTTGATCAACAGCCAAATCGCATGTGATTTGAACTGGACATGAATCGCTGGATATCAAGCGGGCTATACGCTTGCTTATCAACCTTTCTAAAAAACTTTTACGTTAAAGAGAAACCTATAAAACGCAGACCTTTAAACTGCTGTAGGTTTAAGTAAAACTATTTATAATGTAATATTAAAGGGCACAGAGTGGCAACCATTCATTAATGTTTGCAAACAATTAATGCTTAGACCAGAAATAAATGTGATTTGAAGCTTTTAGTCTTCTGTCCTTCAATACTCTGTGTTTCTGTAAGGGTTACGATTTATTTATAAAATGAATAGTGGCCTGACCGTATTTCTATTTCTATAAATTATTTATAGGGGCGTGATTTAGTATCTGAATTATTAATAAGGTAAACGAATTTCTTGATACATTAGGTTGAACGTGATTATTAAATGTAATTCTAAGCTTAGTATTGGTGTCTATTTTGGTATGATTCTCTAAACTTAAAATTAAATTTAAGTTGAGTCTCAGCTTTTAATTATGCATACAGTATGACAATGATACCTTCACTGTTATCAAATTAAATTTTAGGTTTAGAGAATTATGATAGAATCGACACCATTGTATGCATAAATACATTTCTGTTGACACGTGCAAAGCTTATTTCTAATTTAATATTTTTTTTAGTAACAGCATAGTAGGAAGCACGGTAAGTAAAAAATGCTACGATTCTTCAATTTCTAAAGTAGGTATTTTATTGCCTTACTCCAAATAAATGAGTCGGTTACCGTTTAAATTAAAGTGTGTTCGAGAAAATTGCTATCCTAGTTTTCATCGTACCCGAGTTTCAACAAATCTAAAAAGTCAGAGCTATAGACGTTGAAATATAAAGCAATTGAAGGCGTTTGGATTCGAAGCTTTTGCTTTGATTTAGTTTTTGCTCAAAAGCATGTTGGATTGAATCAAGTTTTACGAGCACTGTTTTAATTGAAGTTTGTAGCAGTGTTTTTGCTTAATTACGTTTAGACAAGTCGAATTAAACACAGAGATGGAAAATTAACAGTTTCTTAACAGTCCTTTGAAATGTTTCCTTATAGTAGTCCCGAATTAACACTATTTCGAAGTGGTTTAAGTTTGAGTGTTAGTTAATTTGTTTTTGTTCAATAAAGTTGAGTTAAGTGCTCTTGAAGTACTTACAAGTTCCTCAATTTCAGGTTAAGCCCATAATCTGCAAATAACTATAAAGCTTTTGTTATTAAATCTACACTATTATATAAAGAGAGAATCTGACTGACTGACTCATCAACGTGGAGACGAAAACCTAGAATGATGAAATTTGGACAATAGGTACCTTTTAATAAGCAAAGAAATTTGTTTTGAAAATTTTATTCCTAAGTCACTTAGGCTAAGTGTATCAAATAGGGTTTGAAAGTTGGTATGGTGCTTTTTTTTATTTTTGACTTGATAAACTTAAAATTTGGTAAAAATACTTTAAAAATAAAATAATCAAGTACGTGTTTCAGGGGTTTCCAAGATTACACTTAGGGTGATATATAAGGGTTGAGAGATTGAGAATTTGACTCACTCACATATCAATATGTACCTACGAATGACTGTATTTTAGTTACATCAATCAATATCAATATTATAAAGAGAAGAGATTTGTTAATTGTTTGTTTTTTTGCATTGAGTACCTTTACTATTCTTTATTATCTTTTAGACCACATATCTCCTTTTAGAAAATAGCTTAATTGGTTGCCTATCAGTGGCCAAAGAAACCATAGATTACTATGCATGCTTTTCAACATTTTATACGATCCACGTGCTCAGGAGTACCTGAAATCTATTGATTTAAATTTCTGGGCACTTCCAACCATCGTGATCTTCGCTCGTGCAGAAATCTTACTATTCAAATCCCCATTCATCATTCTGGCTTTGGATCCAAAACTTTCACTGTTACTGCGATACGCCTGTGCCGCGTTGCCTACCGCTAAGCATTCGTAGTTCTAACAATAAGATGGAGTCGAAAAAGCCAGTGCGTGAACACTACCTGACCCGACTATGTAAGTTCTTTTTTATAGTTTGCATCTATTTATATTATATTTATAGTATTTTATGTATGTATAATGAATATATTTATTTTTAAATGTATTTTATGTAAGTAGTAAATGTATGCGTTTTAAAATTAGTATTTAAGGATTATTATATTTTTATCGTCGTTATTATCTAAATGTCTACTAAAAAGCATTTTGCCCTATCGCCAGAACCTACGTGCCAAATATGGAATCTCAAGACCCAGCGGTTGGGCTGTGCGTTCATATCAGTCAGTCAGTCAATCAGTCATTCAGTCAGTTCCTTCTTTTGTATAAACACATGCAGAAAGTCTGAGCAACATGCATTATTTACGGAAACTGCAAATTTGATCAGTTAATATAGTATATTTTCGTTATAAAATGTATATTTATTTAAATGTTTTCTTTCTTCAGCCACTAATAAATCAAAATTATATGAATATTAAAAATATTTAAAATTGATCAAAAGTAAATAAGTTTAAATAAGCTCGTGTTGTTTAGACTATTTTATCAGTATATGTAGAAGATATATAAACCAAGCCTAAGAACAAAAACTTTACACCGAAGCGAAGCAAGGGCGGTCCACTAGTATTTATATATTTTTTATCAAAAAATCATTTATTCAGTCTAGGCTGTTACAAGCACTTGTGAAAGTCGAGAAGCTACGCCATCGGTTCACAAAACTACGGCGGGAGACCTTGTACTGACAAGAACCGGCAAGAAACTCAGCAAGGGCTGCTTTTTCTACCTGTATTATTCTATACAGAGTCGTCAAGTTGAAAAATGACTTCAGATATAATTCTGACCCTTCAACTTCTAGAATTTTATATATAAAGAAAATTTTATTTATTTGAGTTACTTATGTGTGTCCAGCATCATTACAGTCGTTCGTCGTGAATGACATGCCTGACGCCACTGCGAAACTTTTTACGATCATAGATCAAATGCACCTCATCAAGCTGTTCATACCCGTTATAATTATATATTATTACTTAAATATTTGCCCTTTTTAAAGAATATTCTAAGGAGAATAATTATTTTAAAAGGTTAAAACAATTTTTGACTCGTTGTTTATTTTATCAGAAAGAGATACGTAAACATCATTCTCATTCTAAGATATTCTTAACAATACATGCGATGGAATTTATAATTAAATTACGTACTGAGTAAAGTTGTCGTTGTTCGACGGAGCATCTCATATTCACAAACACGCATGAACCAATTAAGTGAGATTGAAATATTCAACGAGTACATACGCAATCTAAGTTAGGGTTCGTACAAAACAGATAGGTACAGAAGTCAATTAACATAAAAAGTGCGCTCGAGGAACGCACATATAGACACTGCTCACGGACACAATATTTCGGACCCGTTAGAATAGGCCCAGTGCGAGGGCGAGCAAAACAAAGACACGCATCCGTGGTATTGTGTGCAAAAATGGCGCAATAAAAATTATGTTGGTTTATATGTTCTTTCTACGTGTTTCATTCTCAAAAAAAAACAATCAACTAGACACGAGTGGCGATGGTTTTTGTCCATAAGCTAAAGTTGTTAATCCTAGCGCGACCGCCGAGCGTTGATATGAAAAGTGAAGTGCATATATGTGATTGACTTCTGTACCTATCTGTTTTGTGCCAAAATAACTCAATGCTCGCGAGAGATAATGACACCTTGAAATGTTTAACAGGTGAAGGGAGTAATGCGCCTGCGGTGATGTTCTCTCTACTATGCAGTGGAACGGTCTCTACTTCGTGTGTCTAGCTTTATGCTGCCTACACACCGCATCAGGTAAATAATAATAATAAATAAAATAAATAAATATTTCCAACACTCACACCAATTAGCCTAACCCCAAAGGAAGAACTGTAAGGCTTGTGTTACTGGGTGCTAGGGTAACGGATAGAATACATACACTGTACATATATAAGTATATTTATATAGAAATACATATTAAACATCCATGACTGGGGCACAAATGCTCGTATTTATTACACATACATCTGCCCCCACCAGGATTCGAAACCCGGGACCCCTTTAATCTGCGACACCATGAAACCCGGCGTACAAACCACTCGGTTACGGAGGTCATTAATATCTCTCCTATTAAACAAAAAAAACAAACAAATATATTTAGATAATTCAAGAATAGGTAGTAGTATATTAAAACTTATTGCTAAATTAATAAGTTCTCCTGTTTTTGAATATGTTTAATTCTACAAAGAAAATGAGTTGCCGCTATGAATACACACGAATATCTTTCAAACTACTACACCAACTTGGATTTTATTATGAATTCGATGTTATAAAAATGACAAAGTACTAGTAAAATTCGTAAGTCGGGATGATGTTTATGTTTTTTAATAATTCTAGTTTCTAGCTCATCTCGCTTCTTAATAAAGTTAGTGTAGTCCTCAAGTAACGGTAGACTAGACAACTTCTAAAAAACTTGTAAAAGTATTTCTGTTGTGTAAACCAAAACCGGTTCAGTAGCTAACTACTGAACCGGTTTTGGTAAATTTCGAAGGAGTAAAGGAATCATCAAATTTTTGCCGCGAAAGTATAACTTTAAGGTATTGAAGTATGAAATGATGCAGGTGAAGTTGCGGACACTAGCACTAGCTATTCAAGAAGTTTGGATTTCAATAATGAGATTTTATAATTTACCATAAGTGCAGAGCTATTGCAGAGCCATAGCGAGCATTCTTAGTCCAAGACCTGTCTCTGTAGCTCGCAGTCAATAAAATAGACCAAAGTTAAGGCCCCTATGTACCAAACTCTTAATTCAAATTAAGGATTAATGGTGTTTAGTACATTATTGCATCCTTGTTAAATGTTTGAAGTCAAATAGAGATACATGAGGCTTAATCGTGAATGGTCTTCAAATAATTAAGAACTTTGGAGCGAGTGGTCTGAATGTTGCATGGAGGTTTCATACCTACTCATTTAACGCTCATACGCACTGGCGCAAGTGCGTATAAGTGCTAATTATAATTACTCGTACGTAACTATTGTTTTCACCTTTGCTATGCATGTTGATATTGAATAAAAATAAAAAATAATACATCATTATTTTCTGTGGCAAGACAAAGCCCATCCACATTTTTTATCTAAAATATAGACTGAATTAATTTTTATTTATTTTTAATTATTATTATTTATTTATTTTTATTTATAATTTGGTTTGCGTTCGTGGAAGTTCAGCAACAATCGCAATGACTGGTGTTTGGTGATTTTCTTATATTTGATTATTATCATAAAGCAGCTGATTTGGCAAACTTCGTACTGCTTACAAAAATTTGGAGGAAATGAAAGTTATCTGTCCGACAGGAACACAGCTTTTAATAGTGAGCAATTATTCGGAGGAATCTTTTGTAGATTGATCGTTCAGCAATGTAACTCTCATATTTACTGCCAGCTGGAAATTCATTACATGACGCTTAAAATTCAATTAAAAGGGCAAGCCCTTATTTTATTGACAGTAGTCGATCATGTATTAACGATTTTTTTAGATCCTGCATTATTTTTTCTTCGTAATTAAAAAAAAAACTGAGAATAACGAACACAAAAAAGGACTATCCACTTCTGTTCATTCGTTCGGAAATTATGCACGTACATACTTTTCGACGATTCATATAAAGATATAAAAGACATCTAATAACAAATCTCTCAATACTTATTCGCACATAAGCTTACATTAGAAAAATAGAATTATAATATAACGTCTGAAATCTGAGAAAAAAACCGTGATCAATCTTATTATTCGCAGACGTTCATATTTATTTCTAGAATACAGAAATAATAAGAACTAGGCAAGTAGTTTTGTCGATCTATCAAAAGTAACAACTCAAGTAATCTCCATTTGGCGAATACATTGAATTCTTGAGAACTAGTTTTTCTCTTATTTCTTTCAACCGTTTTAGGATTCCATATTCAAAAGGTTACGACAGATCCCTATTACTGAACCTTCGCTTTTTGTCCTTTCGTCGGCGGTCTGTATTTCATGAATTAATTATTGTAACTGAAAGACTGGCTATTTATTTGTTTGTAAGCTGTCGCTACTGTTGTCTGCTCTGATTCCATCTCTTTACTCTGGAAACTCTTCTAATAATACAAACTGTAGGAACACGGCACTGAAAATTTGCCTCTATAGCCTTGTCTGAGGTGCGAAACACTTGCCCATTTTTAATCAAATACATGACCAAGTACCCTATTCAGGCGGGAAATGCTCTATTCCTATTTTTTTTTAAGATTAACAATTGATTAGTTGACTAAAAAGGACGAAAATAATAGAATATTTAGACAGCTGTATCCAAAATCTATTTACTTTAATAGTTCAGGTTTTATCTTGCTATTTTTTAATTTCACATTATATTTAGAAAATGTTATATTATGTACGTAGTAAGGTAACATAAGGCCAATCGACTTTAGGACACAAGACACCATATTAAAATATGCTTAGCTTTTCTTTACGGGGTAGTAGAATATTACAGGCTCATTAGACATAGAATTATATAGACTTCTGTACCTATCTGTTTTGTGCCAAAACTCTTTGCTCGCGAGAGATAAACACACCTTGAAAAAAAAGTATACAAAATTAAGTTGTATCAAATAATGGTATAAGAGTTTGCTGTTTGGACGTTCATCATTCAATCACGCACAATCGCTAGACAGATTTGAATATTTGGCAAACAATTTATTACTAAGATTGAAAAAAATGGTAATTTAAAGATAGTAGTATTTCAAGAACTGTTGTTATTAATTACATAGATAGTGAAAATGTCATTAACACAACGAGGTGCAAGAAGGTCTTTCCTCCGTACATGTTTTTTACAGCGGAACACTGCATTTTGACATTTTTAGTGATGCAGCATAAATTCGCGCGACTCGACTGAGTCTAGTGAAAAATTCGTATGCTCAATTCGACAGAGGGGAAAGCTAAGTAAACCTACTCCCTCCCTGGCTGCGTTGGCCGGGTTTACTCTATGGTAGTCTACGAGTAGATTTTATTTAACTTTCATCCCTGTCAAAGGGTTATAGTAAATACTTTATTTCTGTGTGCTCAACACAACAATCTATACATACACTCTAGTCATAATTCCGCATTTATGACACTAAATGAGAATCCCGGCTAGAACTTTTGGGCAACATAAAATTTAATGAATTTCCATCATTTCTATTACGAGCAAAACCCTAACTGGAGAAACCGAAAGTTTAATAACGTGCCCAAATTGAAGATTTACCTTTGGACCTACAAATGTAAACATGATAGATAGGTACAATTAGTACATTAATCTCTGATTAAGGGTAATCCAACGATTTCAATGAATAATTCAATTATCTCTTTGCCGACAATCCATTAATAAAATTGAAGCGCCCAAATAAATAAGTAGGCAATAAATATCTGTGAATTGCAAACAAATTATTATTGCTTTTAAACACAATGTTACTAATATTATGTAGTGACTAAGTTTGTATGTTTGTTACTGTTTATCATGCTAAACAGCTGAATAGTTTGTTATCTGGATTAAATATACAGTATACTTTTTGTCCCGAAAACTACTTTTTGTTTAAAAAATATAGACTAAAAAATATTTTTTAAAATTAAATTTCTACAGCAATCTTCTGCTTTTATGAAGTGAAATCGATATATTTAGGTTCCTTAGACCAAATACTTTAAGAAATAAACATTTATTTAATACAATTCGACATGAGTCAACTAGCCTATTAATATCCACAACTTATTATCATTTTCGCTACATGAAAATGTGCTAAGACAATTATTTATAGATGGTAGGCGACATCATAAAGTCTATTGTCATACATTTTTCGCCAAACATCTCCATAAACACATTATAAGATGTGATACACCAAAAATCTAAAATATAGTTATAATATAATGAAGAAATAGCTGTATAACCTAAATCTCTTAGCTTTCTTTGGTTAACGAGAGTTTAAAAATTTTCTCTAACCTGTCACAGAGTTATTAACCGGAAATGTATAGATGATACCTGATTTTAAAAGTTACTCTTGTGCATTAACTAAAAATAAGCAAATATCTATTAATATACATGCTTTATATAAGTGAATCTAATACTTAATTAGTATCTGTACTTGACTTGTTTTCCCAAGTTTACTATATAACTTATTTGTTTTTATTATTTTAATACCTATGTACCTATTTGCAAACATAACCTTCAAATCATTCAGTGTATATGGTTTATAGAAGTTCTTAGGGGTGTCCGTCAATAATATTCGTTACTACAGTAATTTATATATAATTTCGAATCTAGGAAACATTTTTTTATGTTTATTGGTATTTAGGCAAAACATGTATGGAAGCTGAGCAATCAGATTTAAATAAAGCTAATGCACAAAATATCGCCAGTATCACAATAGACAGAAAAATTGTGGCTGTTTTTTCCCCCAACTTCATACATACTCTGACTTTTTTGATACATTAGATACTAATACATTAAGTTCCTAGAAAGATTCAATATTTCTTATATTAGCTATATCTAATCTATTATATAATATTACTAACGTCTGTATTAATACTTACATCTTCCCAGTCTATTCCCAGTATTGTGAAAGTATTTTGTTTGACTTGACTAAAAGGAATATCAGTGACTAACTCGCTCCTTCAATGCAAAAGGGCCACAATCCAAAAAATCTCAAAACTCGTTTTATTGTAAAAATGTGATCTAAATGCATGATATTTTAGAGTGTCATTAAAACACTCGCCATTTTAGCTTTAATAACTACCAAATCACAAAAGCGTCCGTTTTGCA